GCCGCCCCAGCCGGCAGCCCGCCCCGGCCACCGGCTGCGGCACCACCAGGCCCACGGCACGGTACAGGCAGGCTTGCGCCAGCCCCAGGAGCTGCGGCGACGTCTGGCCCTGGCGGCAGCGGGCGCCCTGGCTGAGGATGCGGAAGCAGCTGGCCCGGCCGGGCGGGAAGGCCCAGCGGAGGGTGACGCTGAGCGAGAGCTGCTCTGCCTCGGGGCCCTTCTGCCACCAGAGCTGCGAGGCCGTCACGCTCTGCACCTGCGGTGGGGAGGCTGCCATGCTGGCCGCATCCAGCACCTGCGGAGGGAACCACAGGACCGGGTTGGGGCTGGGGCCGAGAGCATTGGGCGCCCACCCACTTTTGGGATGAGGGATGGCGTGGGGCAGCACCGGGGAGGGTGGCTCCCAGCTGGCAGCAGCGGGCACTCACCCGGACCTCCCCGAGGAGGCAGGTGAAGGGCGTCTCCTGTGGGCTGGGCTGGTGGCGGGACACAAGCAGGGAGAGGTCTCGCAGGCTGCAGTCCTGCAGGTCCAGCTCGTAGCACCTGAGAGCGAAGGGGCAGAGCGAGCATGGTGCCGGGGGGCCCTGGGGTGCCCCAACCCACCCACAGATGCAGGGTGCCAGCAGGGCACTCACCGGCTGTTGGGCTCTGCCGGAGATAGCGGGGTTGGGGTGGGGGTGAGGGGCTGAGCTCGTTCCGCACCCTACAGCGGGTGCTCACTGCAGAGAGCATGGAGGGGCAGGGTTCTCACCGGGCAGGGAGGTGACGTTGCCCTCGTGACAGGTACCCGAGTCCCAGGTGGTGAGCTCCAGTGCAACTGTGAACTCGTCGACATGTGGCCCCTCCAGCTTGTAGAGCAGGGTAAGGAAGAGCTTGGGGGGCGCCGGCATCTGCAAAGAGAAAAGGCTGATGACCCCAAATCCACCCAGAAACAGAGAGAGAGAGAGAAGAGAGAAAGAGAAAATGCATTGGGTTAGGTCTGCTGGGCAGCGTGGGCAGAGAGCCCCGTGGCATGCTCACCACGAGGCCCCAGGGCCGCACAGCTCTGCCCGGGCTGTGTGGGCCATGCCATGCTGGCATGGCGCCAGCCCAGCGCTGAGGAGATGGCAAGAGGGCTTTGCCTCACAACTCACCGGACGGCCACGCGCTCCTCGCTGGGGGGGATGGTCCCCTGCACCCTCAGGGAGCTGCCCCCACACCAGGCATCCTGCAGGCAGCAGCCAGTGCTCAGCCTGCCCTCACGCTCCGGGTAGAGGGGCTGGATCTCCTGCGCACTCAGATCATACCAGGGACCAGTTTCTTCCTCCTACAGGACAGGATGAGCTGGGCTGGGCGAGGAGCTGGGAGCAGGGACACCCCTGCCTAGCCCACTCCTGCCCAGCTGGAGCCGAGCCGGAGCCCCACACCCACCTTCCCAGCCAGGAACCTGCTGGTGCCCATGCCCAGGCTGAAGGAGGTGGCGAGGGGCAGCGTGCAGATGCTGTGTGTGGGCAGGTACTCGGCCAGCGAGCCCCAGAACCTGGAGGAAAAGGCGGGTATCTGAGCAGAGACCCCTGCTACAGCCGCTGCCCTGGCACGGCATCGGGCACCGCCCCAGCCGGGACAGAGCAGGGCCAGCCTGGTCCTGGCGGGCAGCCAGAGTCTTGTGGCAGCCCTGTCCCGCCGCCCAGCAGCCCTCCCAGCCCAGGGTGCTCCTGGACCCGTCTCCCCGCCAGGGCCCCTGCCCTGCCAAGCCACCCTCACTTGTTCTCATTTTGCAGGAAGTTTTCCTCCCCCAGGTGCTCGTAGACCCAGCCGGGAGCGAAGATGGCTGCGGAGAGGCCGTGCTGGCGGATCAGGCGCAGGGACTACAGAGATGAGCAGTGAGCAGCACGGGCCAGGCCAGGTGGTCACCTTGTCACCTGCCCTGTCTCCAATCCCCCAGGTCCCGCTGGCCCCATGGTGGGGCAGGACAACACCGTGGCTATGTCCTGCGGCATCTCCCTCTCCAGGGGCTGCAGCACCGGCATCCCCCAGCTCCCTCTCCAGGCATGGCTGGCAACCCAGCGGCTCCAGGTTCCCCCACTCCTCACCACTGCATCCCCGTGTTAGCAGCCTGGCATGGCATGGCATGGCATGGCACAGCCATCGGTGGGAGCTCAGAGCCCTGTGCCAGAGGAGGCCCAGGGTCCCACTCTGGCCCAGCCCCGGCACACTCACCTTGTCAGTGTCAAAGCCACCACCGATCACGTCCCCACGGGCAAAGACGTCAATGCCGACGTAGACGTCGGTGTGGCGCGACCCAGCCAGCCCGCGTGTGCGCTCCAGGTGCTCCTCCTTCCAGTTGTAGTTGGTGAACAGCCCGTCGCAGGCATTGAAGAACACCCTGGGAAAGAGGGTCAGGGTCACAGGGCGGACTCTGCAGCTGTCCCTCTAGACCACCCCACCGAGGACTGTGCAGCCCGTGCCCTGACCACCCCCGAGTGCTGGGTTTGGGGTGAGCTCATCCCCCCCACCCGAGGCCAGTTTTGCCTGGGCAAGGTGGCAAGGCAGGCAGGGCCCAGCCTCACCTATTCTCCTCATTCAGCTCATTCTGCCATCTCAGTGTGCCATTCTGCATGATGCTGTCGTACCAGATCACCAGCCCCCCCGGCACGGCGCTGTGCACCTGCGCCGTCAAGTGCCGCAGGAAGGGGGGTAGGTTCTCCACCGCCGCTGCCTGGCAGGAGAGAGCAGGGACAGGTTGGCACGGGGTGGGCGAGGGGCCCCGCACGGGAGCAGCGTGAGGGCAGGGGGGGAGGCGGGCAGAGCACGACTGTGGCTCACGCTCAGCGTGTTCTCCATGTTGACCAGCCAGCCGTCAAAGCGGTAGTGCTGGGCGATGCGAGCCAGCTGCTCGCTCACAGCGCGGTACGCCTCCTCCCCGCCAGCCAGGAACGTCTCGCACAGCTTCTCCCCGTCTGTCCATTCCGTAATGAATGTGCCTAGGGAGACGGGGAGAGCAGCGTTGGGTGTGCACCCCGACAAACGCACCGCGTGCCTCGGGCTCCTCCGGGCCCGGTCTTGCAGCTGCCAGCCCTGCAGCCGGCCCTGCCCTCACCCAGCACGGGGACGCCGTTCCTGTGCGCCGCATTGGTCCAACACACAGGCGGGATGGTGACGGTGTGGTGGCTGAAGTAGACGAAGATGTCGATGTACCTCCAGTGGTAGAAGACGTAAGGGTTGCGTGTGGCTGAGCCCTGGATGAACCTGCAGCGGCAGAGAAGGGAGAAGGTTGGGCAATGCGGGAAGGACGCCGGCAGACGGCTGTGGGGCTGGGCAGGAGCCTGACTCACGCCCTGGAAGCTGGGCAGAGCTGTGGCACTGAGCCAGCCCTGTGGACCCCGGCTAGGGCTGGCCCGAGCAAGGTCGCTGTGCTCCGGCACCAAGAGCCAAACCTCTCCATCCCTGCCCGCCTGTGGCCAAGCTGGCAGGAAACAAATCAAGCAGAAGTAGAAGAGGTTTGGGGTTTGAGATGTTGAGCTCTGCTGCCACATCTCTCCTCCACCCAGCATGTACCTGTCCTCCAGGTATCCGCCGCGCATGTCATGGCACACCAGCGTCCGGGGCCTCTTGCTGAGGAGCGGGGGCTGGCGCTTTGCCAGCGGCACGGCAGAGACATTGAATTCGTCGTTGCTGTTGGGCTGCCAGGCCAGCAGCTCCTCCAGGCCGGACAAGAAGAAGCTGATGGGCTCCGTCGTCCTGGTGTCAAAGTACCTCGCTGGGGCAGGTGAGGAGATGGGGAACGGGGTCAGCGGGGAGCGCTGCCCATGCGGCTCAGCACCGGCACCAGCACCGGCACCAGCACTGGCCCCGGCCCCAGCGCGGTGGGGACCCAGGGGCGCAGCGGGCGCCCTCCCCGCGGTGCCTCACCTGGCAGGGGCTGCGGGCGGGCGCTGACGGTGTCGTGCAGGACGGTGGTTCCCAGGGGCTCCGCCGCCGGCTGGAAGCTGCCCGGGGAAGGGGGTGAGGGCCGGGGC